AGCACCTGGGCTCAGAGAAGTCAAGCACCTTGTTGGGGGTGGCGCGGCCAGTGAGCAGCGGGCTGGGTGGGATCTGCCGGGCTGAGGGCTCACATACCCAGACTGCTTCCTTCCCGCATGTATCTGCCTCTTAAGAGTCGGGTTATCCAAAATTTCTGTCCACACCCACCTTCCCTTCCTTCTAATTTGCCGCTCGTAATTAGTGGGGACCGAGGGAAGCTCATTCGAATCGTGTTTTGTACAAAACCGGAGCGATCCAAGCCTGCCGCTCCCCAGCTTGTAATTCGGTGCCCGGGCTTGGCTGGCTACAGCTACGTCACCCAACTGGCAGTCTTTCTCACTTTTATCTAGGTTCAAGACCGTTCTTTTTCTGGATTGCTGACCTTGCCAGCCTCTAAGATGTGTGGAATTATTTTATAGACGTGTGTTTTTTATTCATTTCAAATCCACAAGGCTGAGCTGTCTACCTACAAAACTGTAATTAGATGCGCTGGGAGGGAAAAAAAGAAAAAAGCTTGTATCTACTTCAAGCAAGATGAAGAGCCCTGGGCACTGGTTCAGCATGCGGTGAGGTAGCCAGAAGCGGCGTAAGAGAATATTTATGGATGAGGTGGGCCTGTATAAGCTCATCTGCCAGGTGTTAAAAAACATGCAAATTAAGCTAATTAGGCTCACAGACCCTGTCTCAACACTGTGTCCATGCCACCCACTAAAACACCTCAAAACACTTGACATCTGTTTAGAGCTTTAGTCTTCCGAAAGACCAGCTTCGGTCCTGACGCAGTCTCTGTGCGTGCAGAGTAAATCTCCGCCTTCGGTTGCCCCACCAAGGCCTGATGCGCGCGATGCCAGGATCCTTGCTGAATGACCAACTCCTCCCAGTGACCATGGTGCTTTGTAATGACCGCTAAGCGCTTTACAAGCACGTGTCTCTTCTACAAGCCCGGTGGGGAGTGGGGGTGGGGGCAGGCGGTATCATCCCCACTGGACAGAGGAGGGGCCAGATTCAGAGAGTGGAAGTGGCTGTGCCCAAGTGCTAGAACGGGAAACGGTGATAGCGAGTCCTGGGCATCCTCTCTGTCACTACGCGGTGGCCTCCTGCAGGACGAGAGGGACCACCACTGATGGCGCAGGCCCCATAGAAATGTAACGGCAAGGATAGAGTTCAGTCCGATTTTTTACAGATGCAGAAATGGGCTCCTTAAAAGGCCAATGACTTGCCCAGGATCACAGGTTCAAAGTGGCCGAGCCGGAGCCTTCAGAACCAAGCTTCTAAAGAACAGACGCTGGCTGTTCACACCACCCGGGGATGCACGCGGTTTGTTATGCGATACTTGCCCGGAAAACACTGGGGGCCCAAGGATGCACCTCTTTTTCAGACGCAGACTTTTTTTGCACAACAAAATAGGAAAGAAGATTCAACCGACTCAAGCGACTACCACTAGAGCCCAGCGCCGACTTGGCTGCCGGCTGGTACTGGGCTCTAAGCGAGTTACTCTTCTGCCCAGTAGGCAGCCTGGAGAGGGTGCCTGGCAGCTGCCCACCACAAGTATTGAAATCTCTGGTCTCGGCACCTGGAGGCCTCTCCTCTCACCTTTCTTCACACCCATTCAGGCCCCTTGCCATTTTGCAAACACTCCAGGCCCTGTGTTGCCTCTGGGCCTTTGCCCATGCTGTTCCCTCTACCTGTAACTTCTCCTGTATCTTTCAGCGGATCTGTCTTTCATCTGCATTACCTCCATGAACTGGTCCAGACCCTTGAGTCAGAACAGCTTTCTCTGCATTCCCTAGCATGGCTATACCGCTCTCCATCACAGGATTTGCCACACTGAATTATAGTACATTGTTAATAGGCCTTTTTCCCTTACCTTCCACCCCCAGAGACCATGGCAGAGGCCAGGGCTTATTCATCTTTGTATTAACCTTGTTTAGCCCAGTCCCTCACAGACAGAGAGAGAGTTAGCTCAATAAATGTGAAAGGGCTGGCTGATGGTTGATGAACAAGGTTTTCATAGTTAACTCAGCTTCAATATGAAATTCAAAACAATGAAGAAGACAGGACTCAAACATAGCTGGGAAATAACATACACTTTTACTCTCAAAATAAATACTAATCAATTTTATTTTATAAATACAGATGCTGAGTTTTCTTCCAATTACCAACAGATCAGTTTCACATGCCATTTATTATTGGTGGTGGTTTAAAAAATTATTTAAATAACCAGTTAGGTCAGGATAAATGGGCACCATTAGAACCGCTAAAAAAATAGAGCTGGATACAATCTTCCAAAACTAATATTCTGAGGGGGAAAAAAAAATCTCTGGAATTTCTAAAGTGGGTAAGGGGAAGTGGAGAGAGGGAACACAATCAAATATTCATTTGATAACACTTGCCGGCCATTCAAAGTGTCTCCGCTACATGAAAATGGAAAGGGCTCTTAGCAGTTCAGACATGGATAGTAGTGGATTTTTATTTCAACTTATATCCTCAAAGCAAGTTTTATTTTCTTTAGTGATTTACAAGACTAACTAAAAAGATTAGTAGGAGATAATAACTCATCCCATATTTTGGCCTTGGCCACTCCAAGCAGAGGCAAAACTAATTCTGCAGCTTTGGAAAATGTCAAACAGAGCTCCTCCCGGAGACATGCAATACTGTTGGTTCTACCCCAAGTCAAGGCAGAAACTGTAGGCATCGAACAGACTCCATGGAAGCCTGAAACCCAAACCAAGCGAACCCAAACGTAAGTGGTGTTTTGAGGCATAACATCGTCGAACACAGTGTGGACCAAGCCAGTGTAGGAAACCAGTTCTGAGCTACCTAATATCACATTCAGTGGCAGGGCCACACACTGCTGGTGTGTGTGTGTGTGTGTGTGTGTGTGTGTGTGTGTGTGTGCGCGCGCACAAAGCTGTGGATCCCAGAATCAGGGAGTCCACAAATAGGAGACTGGCAGATGGAGTCTCAGAGCCCCAGCTCTCTCTGGCTCTGTGGAACCTGAGGTACACACTGTCCCCGTGGCTGCTCTGCGTGTGGTCCCTCTGCCTGGGGGCGCCAGGACCTAGGCCAGAGGGCCTACAACTCCATGCACTGTCTTTAAGTTTGGCATGAAGTTCAAAGTCCACCCCCATATGTGGACTTTAAGCCACATGTGATGTACCTTCCACTGTTCAATACTAACACAATCCTTCCAGAACCTTTTTCTTTTGGGTGGGGTAAGTGCTATTTCATTGGAAGACCCCACACAGTCCAGCGTGATGTAAGACCACAGATATCACCCCCCTCATTGACTCTACCGTGAATGGCAGGACATTGCGAAGAAGCCGTGACTCTAGAGTGCTTCTGCTTTAGGTTTGGAGTGGTTCCACCTCTTTATGTGAAATACGATGGATTTCTTCAGATCAACTTAAAGCTCTTAATTGCTTGCAGGTTGGGTCCATGTGTCAAGCATGGGTTGGGTGAGTTTTCTTTACATATGGAAAACAACAATACGAACCATTCTGCATGACAACAAGGCTGTAAATGAGAACTTGAGCCCAGGAGTGCTTGGACAATATATGAAAATGACCATGAAACCTAGGAGTTAAGCTGTTACGTCGGACAAATGCAGTTCCTGGAGAGAACACCTGTGAAGGTGTTTGCGCTGCTGTGCGGAACAGCACACGCTCGAGTCAACGACATTAGCTTAGGTACAGCCACGGTTTCTGTCCAGGCTCGTCCTGTTGCGATGGAAGATGGAGATGTAGGTTCGAGACGGATTTCAGAACTGGAAAGAACAAATCAGGTCAAGTGAAGTAAATTCAGTTTTTATTCTTCTATACAATACATGGGTATATGCATAAATTTTCCTTAAAGAGCTTGCAACCCTGAGGCAATGTCCTTGGGTATATAAAGTATATGGCAATAGCAAATGAAATCTGAGCTCCGGGGATGAAATTGGACTTGAAGAACATAATTTAATATGAACGCAACTGCACATACACCAATAGTATTCTATGCCTCATCTAAGCCTCTTCATCCAACTATCTCAACAGCCTTGCTGTCGGCACACTGGACAGCCTGACTCTCTACGGGTATTTCATCATATACAGCGCCTTCCTTTCCAACTGAAATTTAATAAATTAACATGGGATTTACATGTGGGGATTTTTGTCTGGTGAGTGCACTGCCAGAAAGCATGCCTGGTTTTTGACTGCAGCGTCTGCCCACGTAAAAACTCTGGCCCCCAGAGGACACTGGATGTCATCTGACTATTGCAACCTTGGGAGCCCTTGAGGGTCCCCTGGGATCTACCAGAGGGGAAATTTTTCCCTCTCCTTGGAGGGTTACGTTAAGGGCGTGGCTGATCTGAGGAGGTGGAAGGTCTTGGCTACCGCATTCGAGAACCAGTGACTCTGCCGTCCTCAGTTTTCAGGGTGCACGACCCACCTGCTGTGAAGACGGGGCAGCAGAGAGGCTGACTGGGGCAGGGGCAGGAGCAGGGGCAGGTGGGCCTGGGTATAAGGAGACCATTGTGCTTCTTACTCATCAAACTAACGGATGGTCAAAGGTCTTTGAGTTAACTGGTGAAAACCTTTGTTTTGAATATTCGGTTTTCCAAAGTTTTATAAACTATGTTGAGGGCAAATGCTTATGAGAAACTAAAGGTGAGTTTATCATATTATTTATATATTATCATCTTCCCTCTGAGGATAACACAGAAGTGTAAATTAAAAAGCAGACAAATATCTTTAAGGTGACTCGAGCTAGAGAGTGAATTTTGCCTTAAAACAGTTGTCAGGCCTGAAAAGCAAACCTTGCAAGCAAACTCTAACTTTGTCTGGCCCACTGATACACAACGATCCTGAGCCCCTCCGTGATTTACAAAGTCTGTTTTTCCGAGGAATATCCTCCATTAATATTCATTTCGTGTCATAATTATTACAAGGGGTAACCAGTGCAGCTTTATCCTCATTTCAGGCAGCGACTCTGTCCTGGTCCTACCGGCTGGCTGCTCACTTCACTTATCAGAGCTCCTGCGTGGCCGGCGGAAGCTGGACACGTTTTCATTCAGTGCATAGATCCTTCGGGAGAACTCTTCAAATTCTCCCAGGACTTGTTCGTCACACTCCACTGCCACGGCGCTATCCACCGGGATGCAGTTAAAGGCTTCTAGCTGATCGCCCGAGGTGAGACCCGTGGCTTCCATCCCGATGATCTCTTCCGCTTGCTCCACAGTACAGCAGAGCTCGGCCTCCGGCACCGGGAGGAATGCCCCCGGGAGCCGGACGCCGGAGGAGCCAGCCTGCTCGCTGGGCAGGAGAGCGCCGTTGACGGCGGCTGGGAGTCCAGAGAGGGCTCCTTCTTGTTCTTGGCTAGTGTTCACACTCACGTGACCTCCGCTTAATCTGTCACCCAAGTCAGCTCCTTTTTTCTTGCTTTCTTTGGAGAAGTCCAAGGAGGTATCCAAGGAGGAGGACAGAGATGTCGTCTTTCTCTCGGATTCTCCTACGGAAGGGATGGCGGTAACAGGCTGGGCTAGCGCGGAGTTGTAACTGGGAGGAGGGGTTTTGTACTGGAGTCTCTCATTCTCTGAGCTGGCCCGTTTTCGGTGTCCTTTGTCTGGGGAAGGGATCCCCCCAGAGAAGCCTACATCTGCACCTCCAAATATGGAGCTTTGTCTCTTTGGAACAGGGATTGCGCTGGAGGTGTGGTGTCTATCGCTAGAAGACAAACAAAAACGAGAAGTTATTTTCAGCTTTCGAACTCGGCCTAAGACTTCCGGATCCAGAGACAGGAAACAACATATTTAGGTTTGAGATAATAAAAATTGATAATAATCAAGTCTAGTATTAACTGTAGGGTCCGGATGCAAGAAAAAATATGAAGCAGTCTGAATTCAAGTTTGGGAGCTTCCTTCAAGAAGGATACAAGACACCCTACAATCTATCCAGAGGATGGTGCTCAGGGTGCGAGAGGAGAGAAATCAAGTCTTTGGGGAAGAGGTGAAGTACCTGGAGAGGTGGGATTGGAAAAAAAGGCATCTGAGGGATGTAATCAACCTTACTGGTCCAAAGGGCTATCGGTATTTATATTCTTGTATTAACTATTCAATGCTGAACTTATTGTCATGAAGCAGGCATCCTTATTTGGCAGAGAAGTTAAATGACTTGTCCCTGATAACCTCAGGGAGGCAGTGGCAGGCTAGACTACAACCCACGCCTCACGACCTGATGACCAACAGGCTTTCTGATACCCAAATGCTAATCACCCTGCATTAGAGAACTGGCAGAGAGGGAACCAAGGAGACATCTATCTATCTAATGGACAATCTAATGGACTACTATCTATCTAATATGTATATCTATCTATATTTTTCGTAATGAAAAATTAACTTGGAAAATGGCTTCTCTTCTATCAGGTCAGTCACGCACACATTTTACAATACTCGGTCTTCAGTGCCTTCTTTTGAAGTTGAGTCCCTTCTCAGGAAGATACTTTTGGGCCAGCAATAACAATCAGTGCTTAGCATTTTAGTTCCTGAAGACATTTCACATATGCCATTTCGGTGGGTTCTCACAAAAACCCTGTCAAGAAAGCAGGGTATACGCTATTGCTCTTAAGTCTGAAACAATAAATAATAATGAGTTCATAGAAATCGAGTATCCAGACCCTGGAAATGACGGTCGTGTTCAATGCTGGGCTACTTAAGCCACCCCTGTGGCACTGATCACAGTTCTAGATACTACACTTGGATGAAGATAGCTCAATTCACTGATAGGAAAAGACTGATCCAGAGATGGAGGTGCAAACACAAGATCCCTTTGACTTGTATTCTTCCGATGAGGACACACGCACAGAAGTGACTTACAAAACAGCTACTCGGCTGGAAAAGAGACGAGACTTGAAACTATACTCACCCAACAGACAGCTATTACATGTGCCAGCCTCGGGGAGGGGAAACAGATACAAGACAGGACAGGCCCTGCCTCTGAGGAGCTTCCAATCTTGCAGAAGAAAGGCCCCCATAATTATTGAAATGATACATTTTCAAATTACAGTTGTGATAAGTGCCCTGAAAAAGAAGGAAGGGTCTAGGGTTCCTTCCACCCGTGTCCACAGCCACAAGCCCTTATGCCAGCTCCCTGCTCCCTTTTCTTTCAGATTTTTTCTGGTCCTAGATTATGCCTGTGGTCTCTGACACCTAAGCAAGGGTTCTTCTTCTTGCAAAAAGGCAACCACCAGACTTCTAATCCATGGGCCTACCAGACTCCATTGCTTGGCTATGAGCGTGGGTGCCTGGAGAGATTTCATAATTAGGGGTGGTCACTGGGGTGCATATAAAACAGCACAAGCAGCCCAGTAAATTACTGTTTTTGGTCCTCAAGAAAAACGAAACAAAACAGAGCCAAATCTACTGGCCTTAATCTAGGTTTTCAGTTAATATGTTGTCAGAACTCACAGCGATTGGGTAAGCCACACATTTTTGCCAATCTTGTTGTTTTTACTATACCACTTGCTGACAGTGTCCCTCTCGGAATGATTTTGCAGGGGGCCCAGGTAATCAAACCAAAACAAAGTGTCAGCACCACCCACAGACCCTTTTTTTTCTGGAGCAGACAGGCCAAGCTTTCAGCTGCCACCCAGCCCAGGAGGGTGAGAAGCACCAAGTGAACCAGCCTGGAATGCTGAAGGTGACGTCGCTGGCACACAGCCAGAGGCCAGGTGCCTAAGCACTCACTGCCACGAAGGGTGAACGACATGATACCCTCATTGCCACCGCCACCTGGTCCCACCCTGTGGGCTCTCTGCTCTGCTTCTCTGCTGGGCTGCAGGTGGGCTGACAAAAAGCAGGGCATGAGGAACAGACCTGGGCGCAAGCTGTGCTTACGACACAAGAGGACAGGGGATTTTGTAGCCTTCGTTAATTCCGAGACCCCTTGAAAGCTCTCCACAGCTCTGTACAACAGAAAAGTAATAAAGTTTCACATCCCTCCTCTCAACTATAATGGGAAGGCAGCTACCATTTTCTTGTACATCAATAAAGTTGAACCCTCGCATCTACCTTGTGGAAAAGGTAGGCAGGTGGGTGGTTTTGTTCAAGGCTGCAGAGCCCACATCTGAGCCAAATTTGGTCGGACTCCAGAGCCCACGCTGTCTGTTGTGTCCCAAGTGGGAAAGTCATATTCAAATTCAACTGACACTTGCTAAGTGCCAATGGAATGCCACACCTCAAGCTAAATGCCATTACACAGGCCTTCTCATCTAACCCGCTCAGCCTGTATCTAAGCTCTGGGGTGCTACTCCTATTTTAATGGATGGATTCTAAGTCTGTACGAGGTAGAGAC